ATGTTCAATAAATTTAATCAATTAATAAATATACTATTATAATTTTAATAAATTGTTTAATAAATTTCATTTATTTAATTATATATTCAATTACAATTTTTCATTTAAAAAAAAAACAAAGAACTATTGTACAATCTATAAATTTAAATCACTAAAATTTTCTTCTGATTCGAGATTATTCTAAGATCCAAAGAAACCAACGTGGTGTTTTTGCAAAGTGCATTGTTGTTCCTTTGATCCAAGTCTATTATTCAAACCAAGATCCTGAAAAGTCAACATAGTATTTAATCCAAAGCTATTATTTTAACTAAAATCCAGAGAAGTCAACGTGGTGTTTTTATAAAGTGTATTGACGAATGTTTTTCACCCTCCTGATCTAAGTTTATTATTCTAATATCCAGAGAAGTCAATATAGTGTTCTTGCAGACTGCCTTGACTAATGGTTTTCGTCCTTTTGATCCAAGTTTATTATTTCAACTAAGATCCAAAGAAGTCAACGTGGTGCTTTTTACAAAATGCATTGGTTAATGCTTTTCATCCTTCCGATCTAAGTTTATTAATCTAAAATCCATAAAAGCCAATGTGGTGTTTTACAAACTAATTTTCGTCCTTCTGATCCATTATTTCAACCAAGATCTAGAGAAGTTAACGTGGTGTTCTTGCAAGCTACGTCGGCTAATGCTTTTTGTCCTGATCTAAGATCCAGAAAGTTAACGTGACGTTTTTTGCAAAGTGCGTCGGCTAATGCTTTTCGTTTTCTGATCCAAAGATCCAGAGAAGTCAATGTGTTCTTACAAAGTACGTTGGCTAATGCCTTTTCTTCTTCCCGAACAGGATCTAAAAATAAGCTACCGGTTTTGTAATTTCATATGATTAAGTGGTTTTAAATCTTAAACGCAGAAGTTTACCGACAACTTCATTCTTTTACCCTTACTCAATACTATAGATTATGAAACAAAGGGCATCTTTGAAGGCATAATTCTTTTCGAGTTTATTATTTTTCTTACTTTATCCATAAGAATAATAAAGTATTTGTCTTGCCGAATCATTTTATGTTGTTCACTATAAAAATTGAGAATTTCATATGAGTGTCGATCATTCAATTTACGGTTTATATCACGCATTTGTGTTACGTAATGTAATAGGGGACCAGGGAGTGCATCTATTTGCAACTACCCCAAGAACACCTCTAAAATCAGCCAATCAGATTTCGAGATCAGGTGTAACGTGAAATCAAAACAATCAAAACAATCGGAATAAACAAAAAA